CCTTCTACTGCTCCCGGTGCCCCCGCCGCCGCCCGCGGCGGCAGCAGCAGCAGGCGGCGGCGAGGGCGGCGGGGGACGGGGCCGGGGCGGCGCCGCGAGGGTGGTGCCGGTGCCCGCCCGAGGCGGCGCGCGCGCGCGTGGCGAGGGCGGCCGCGGCGCCGGGCGCGGCCGGGGCGGCGAGCACGCAGGCGAGCACAAAGAGCACAAAGAGCACAACCACGGCGTCGGGCGGGGCGAGGGGCGCGGCGGCCGCGGCGGCGGCCGCGGCGGCGAGCATGGCGCGCGGGGCAGGGGCGCGGGGCGCGGCGAGGCGGGGCGGGCAGGCCCGCACGACGCGCCGCGGCAGGCTAAGCAGCAGCCGGACGCAAAGCCTGGCAAGGTGGGCGGGAGGGCGTGCCCCGCGCTGCGCTGTGCCGTCCCTTTGCCCCTGCCATGCTGTGCCTGGCACCCAATCCCCTATCAACACGCAACCTGCCCCCCTTGTGCACTCGTGCAGGCGGAGCACAAGGCTGGCGGCGCGGTGCCCGACCAGCTGCGCGCAAAGGGGTATGTGCTGAGTGAGGAGGAGGCTCCCAAGACCAAGCTGGACAACCCGTTTGATCTGCTCAACCTGGCAGACGAGTGAGGCCGCCCGCCGCGGCCCGCCCCAGCCTGGCAGGCCGCCCAAGGCGTGCCGAGCCTGGCGGGGGGGTGGGCTGGCTCAGCTCGTCCCAGCCTGGCAGCCTGCCCAGCCTGGCAGCTGGGTGAGCAGCTGCTTGCTGCGTGCCATCAGATCTATAGGTGCTGCAGGTTTGCCCTTTTTCCTTGTCTTTCTACTAGCTCTAAACGTCCCGGTTCCTTGCTCCGTGTTCTCTCTGGCACCCTACCCGTCTCTTGCTGGGCCTGTGTGCCCCATGATTTTCCCACCCTTGCACTGCCCTTTTCAGACACCCATCTCCCACTTTGCTTTAGCCCTGCTGTACCACAGACGCACCCACTGCCCCCCATCCCACCCTGCCTGCGTGACGTGAGTGACCACACTGCAACCTCAGGACAGCTGTGTGTTGCTGACCACCCAACCTCCCTGCGTTCTAGCCAGTGTGAAACAAGCAACAAGTGCACAGGCTGGTGGCGGGAGAGCTGGTCTTGGTGACATGCCTGCCATTGAGAGAAGGAGTAGATGAAGCAGCATTGATAGGTAAGCAGGTATTGATCGGTAAAGCAGGTGTAGCTTCAGAACTTCAGAGGAAAGAAACTTTCTTTGATAGGCTACCATCGTGGCACCGGCGGCGGCTGCTGCTGCGACTGCTGGTGTCCGCGCTTGCTGCCAGCCGACAGCTGGGAGGCGGCCGGGGCGCCGCCACTGCCCCAGGCGAAGCGCCCTGCAGCGCCGCTCTGCTGCGGCCCGCTCTGCTGCGGCACGCGCTGTACCGCCACCCCGCATACCTGGTACCGCCCCGCCCCTTTCTTCAGCAGGTCCCCTGCACGTGAGGGGAGCGAGAGCAGATGCGGGGCAGGGCTGGGTGCCAGGAGGGTCCCAGCGTAGGAAGGCGTCGCACCAACTACAGCCCTCAGATCACCCTTTGCAGCCGCCCAGCAGCCACCAGTGGGGCCCCATGTACCACCACTACCACCACTGCCCTTCCCTGCATTGCCAGGCCCGCAACACACATACACACACACACACGTGCCTGCCTCGTTGAGCTGCTCTATGAGGGCCTGCAGGGAGGGCGCCTGCAGCACGATGCGGTCTGCCACATCCTGTAGCTCCCAGGCCTCCACCACCGCATCCCCCTTGGCCTGCACAGCACGACCACAGCATGACCACGGCGTGACCACAGCGTGACCACAGCGTGCGGCACCCGGCACGCACGTCCGTCGCTCGACCAGCCAACCAGCACCCTCTACCCAGAGCCGCCCCAGGCGCTGGTGTGTGCCCTATCCATCCCCTGCCCGGCCCCCAGCACCCACCTGGCAGTGCCACCCCAGCGCCTCCAGGAACCGCCGCCGCTCGCCGGCCTGCGACCCCGCCCGCCCGCCTCCGCCTCCGCCGCGGGTGAAGTCCAGGCACTCCAGGCCGCCGCCCCCGCTGGCTACCTGGCTGTCCAGGGTCTGCCGCATGATCT